CCTCTGTATAAACACAAACAGACCCTTTGCCCACACTTTGATATGCCCTTTATACCATTGTGTAGAACTCATTGGAGGTCACCACACAGGAACTGCTTTTTTTTTTTAAGAGAAAGGAATATTATCAGAAAAGTGTACCTCCATAGCCGATCATCTGACACCCTTTAAGTGATCAAAATTAAGGATATTTAAAGCATGCAGAAAAAGACTTTATGTATAATAAATACATTTTAAAAATAGGGAAAGATAAATGGGTGAAAAGTTAGAGAATTTTGATACAGAATTGGAATCTAAAAATATGATGTACATTGTATACCTGAAAAGTGTAGTATCTAAAGTTAAAAACTCTGAATGAGATTAACTGTAGACACAGCAGAAGATGGTTAGCAAACTCAAAGACAGATCAATAGAAAATATCCAAACACAAGAACAGAGAAAACAGAATCAAAAGAACAGATCATAAGAAACTCGAGGAACACAAATGCTCTAACGTACATGTAATTGGAGTCTCAGAAAGGAGACAGTGATAAAAGCAGAAGCTATATTTGGAGATTGAATTTTTGGCTGAGAATTTTCCAAAAGTGATGAAAGACAACCTATTCAAAGTGCATGAACCTCAGGAAACCTTCACTGACTAACCAGAACCTTTCTCCAGGGACTCCGGTTTCCAGTGTTGTATTTCTGCCTCTTTCATTGGTATGAGTTACTGCATTCTCAGAATCTGTTTAGAGATTTTTCCTTAAGAATGGGCTCTGTCTCCCTCACTTGCTTCTTAAGAGTAAGGGCTATTTATAGTATCATGTATTTTATATTTCCTGTAATATTGAGATAGTTTGCTATACAGTACTTAATATACTACCAGAATTTTCTGCCTATGTAATAAAATGCCCCACACTATTCCAAGTAATTTTTCTCATATTTATTTCTGAACTCTAGTAATTTATTGATCAGGGACCAGTAAAAACAGAAACCATGTCAGTTATTTTAGTAGAGAGAATATAATTTTTAAAAACTGACTAGCAAATATTGAGGGGCTGAAAAAAATGGAGAGGATTCTGAAGTAACTGTAGGAATCCAAGGACCTGAATTAGAGATCAGGGTTAGTAGAGCCCAGAATCTGGGAGGAGAGACCCCATGGAGCTACAATTATCAGCACATGAGGAGAGGGTCCCCCTCAACAGCCAAGACTCACCTCCAAGAAGGGTTATCTGCCTGGCTGGTTTTGGAAGATAGAATTTTCCAATGATTACTACAGCTGCCATTTCACATGCTCTTCATACAATTTGACTTTGACACTCTTATTGAGGGTTGGGGTCTGTGTTTTCTCCCCTTGAATCTGGGCTGACTCACAAGTATGGCAGAAGTAGTGCTATGTGACCCCTGAGGCTAGGTCATAACAGGTGGCACCCCTTTCACCTGGATCTCTTGGGGCACCCACCTTTGAAGCAGTGAGCTGTTTGAGGCTGCCATGCTGAGAGGAAGCCTACGACAGCACGAAAGTTTCTACAGTGATTGTAGTTTTAAGTCCCTGAGTTTTGGATGATATGTTACATAGCAGAAAAAAACTGGGTCCCTGGTACCCAAGAACTCAGAGGAGGAGCCTCAGAGCTGTGACTGAGACCTTGGGTGCAGCAAGGCTGCTTAGGAAGCACCAGGGAGAGGCTAGAAACTGAAATTAACTGGGACAGCGGACTGAAGGGCCACTGCTGAGACAACACTGACAGGGTTGGCAGGTGAACAGAACAGAGTGCGGTCCCCTTTCCTCCCCTAGACTTCCAGGGTCTAGTCCTTTTTGGCAGAATCTAGTAGAGAAGCCAGCTTGGCAAAGAAGAAATGCATTTTTAGGAGTTCCAGCCCCAGGGTAAGTCATATAGTAAATAGCTTAATAGCTGAAACAGGTACCAATTCTACAACTTTTTTTCCCCTAATAACTGAAATATGTTAGACTGTCACTATGCATTTGATGTTAGAAAATCTGCGTGTCCAACATACCTTTAATGTGACTTCACACCCTGTGAATAAGGCTTTGCTTAATGAAAACATGCAGGCAGTCTCTGGCTTCTCCCACTGCAGGTATGACCCAAAGGAGAACAAGTGGACTCGAGTGGCTTCCATGAGTACCCGAAGACTAGGCGTGGCTGTGGCTGTGTTAGGAGGGCTCTTGTATGCCGTAGGCGGTTCTGACGGAACATCTCCACTCAACACAGGTTAGGCCCTTCTGAAGTCAGTCTGGTTTCCCCCAGAGCAGGGGAAACCCCGACGTCAGTCTGGTTTCCCCACATTGTCTTTGGGGGAATTCCCCCTCCAGAAAGTATTGAAAGGCCAGGTTATTCTGTAATTTATCAGGAAAATTATTTTCTTCTAGGAGAGTACCTCTCTCTGCTCTTCCCCAGCTCCTTCTGTAGCCATGGTCTTCTAGGATATTCTCAAAATACTTCTTTCTCCCTCCATTTTACAAGCTTCTAGGAATTTTAATGAGTAAAAGAACTATTTTCTTCACACTAATTATTTTCCTCTCCCATAACCACCTCTCCTTAAAAAAAGAAAAAACAAAAGACCTCTGTATCATCACCTAGGAATAAATTAAAAGTTAAAACTATAAACCGGTATACCTGTTAGTCCTTTCTATTTAGAGGTAATGGATGTTTTTGCCTAGGGATATTGTCATTGTGGCACTTCCATTACAGATCCATTGTCACATATCTTGTCTTCTCTCCAATGGCTTAGAATGCAGTAAGAATACAGGCAAGGGAGTTCACACTTGTCTAAGTGTGACAAATTATTTGTATGGAATTAGATACTATAATCTAATCCCCTCATTTAGAGGTAATAGTGAGGCCATCAGTTACCTAGCTAATGGTAACTACAGCCAGGAATAGAACTAGGTACCCTAACTCCTCCACATGCCCTTTCCACCAAACCATGCCTAAAGGAAGCCCATTCCCAATGGCAGGATAGTGCTACTGTCCAAAGGTACACAAGTCCTTCTCAAGGAAAGATCAGATTGCTTATTGAAAATATCTATCATCATAATGTGTGTGATGTTTTAATGGCTATGAGGAAAACTAGAGAAGACAGGAAATGGCTGAATGGGCATTAACTGGTTTTGCTTTTCCATGCAGTGGAGCGCTACAATCCTCAGGAAAACAGATGGCACACCATAGCCCCTATGGGGACACGGAGGAAGCACCTGGGCTGTGCAGTGTATCAGGACATGATCTATGCTGTAGGAGGTAGAGATGACACTACCGAGCTTAGCAGTGCTGAGAGATACAACCCCAGAACTAACCAGTGGTCTCCGGTGGTGGCTATGACGTCCCGCCGTAGTGGGGTAAGTGCCCAGCAACAAGCACGAGGAGGGCTCTGATCTGTGAGCTGTACTACGTGGGAGCAGGAGGAGGCGCACTGTTTAGGCAAACAACCCCTGCTGCTTTTTCCTGGGAAAAATTCATTTATTTTGATTGCTATTATGTCAAGTAGTTAAATGTCTTTCATCCAATCATATCTTTAGAGAATTTTTTTTATGATTTGTCTTGTATCAGTTGCTTCTTGAAAGGCCCCTCCCTCTCCTATCTATTTATCTAACGTCACCCTCATTCATCCATATCTATTAGAGCTAAATATTCCTACCTACTGTTTCTAAGTAATATTCCAGGTAGTTGGCATACCCATACAAATGTTTAGGCAGAAACACATCTGACCCCACCACCAGTCTTCACAAACTGGTTTGAGTCCATTTCATCTACAGTGTGGACCAGATCAGCCTGATCTATGCCATGCTGTAGACCATGGATTACCTGTGACTACAGGAGACTTACGGAGTAGAGTGTGGAGTTCATCCATCCTAGGACATTTGGTTCAGAATGAAGTGTAACCATAAACCACTGATTTTGTCAGGAGCCCATCAGTGTAGGACAACAGGTGGGAGAATCAGCAATAGCTGAAGATAATCTGAGGGTGATAGGGAGTAAATTCTGGTTTGCACAAATCAGGGACTACATACCACTGAGAGGAATCAGCCAGTCAAACTGTTCACGTAATGGTGGTTCTTTATTGCTGGAAACAAGCAGCTGCTTAGTCACATTCCTGTTGTTTTCACTGCTATATTCTGTTGATATATTTCACTCATTTAGCAAATATTTATTGTTTACTGGGAAAGCAAAAAAAAGTATGACATGATTCCTCAACTCAAGAAGCTCCTGATTTATTGAAGGAAATTGAAATGTTTACAGCTCACTATAAAAAAACAAGTCTAGTAATAGTGGCATGTGCATTTTAGAAGAACGTGCCCCAAAATAAGCTTACTGCTATTGGGCCAGTGAAAAGACTTGCCAGAGAAAGTTGCATGAAGGTAGGCCAGAAAAGAACAAGATTTTCTAGAAGAGGAAAAGAAAGTGCCAACCACCAAATAACATGTGCAAAAGTCTGGCACTGTGATAATGTATGGTATTTTCTGCGACTAGCAATTAATCTAGTATTACTGCAGCATAGGGCACATTAGATGGTAAGGCTGAAATACAGGCTAATAGGGATTTCTGGAGAGCCTGAACAACAGAGTAAGGACTTTAAACTTATCCTTAGGTGGCGGGGAGGCTTAGGAAGTTTTTAGAGGAGTGACAGTATGGTTATATCTGCATTTTTTAAATTTAGTAGCAATATAGATAGTGTATTAGAATAGGCAAATACCAAAAGAAGTGAGAGCAGTTTTGAAGGTTCTTGCTCACCCCCAGGGAATGCGTTTCCAAAAATTTTTTAAACATGTTTTTGACTCTGTAAATAATTCTAATTGAGTATATAATTTTATTGTTCCCATAATTAAATAGGTTTTTATCATAACTTTTTCTCCTTCTGTGTTCAAATTAACCACAATATAAAACCATAAAGAATAACATATATTAAAGAAATTTACCTGGAAACCAGTCTAAATTTTGCTGGTGATTGTCTAGTTTCTTCAGCAGCCACTGTTTTTTGGCCCTGTAGGTTGGCCTGGCAGTGGTGAATGGACAGCTCATGGCTGTAGGAGGTTTTGATGGCACAACATACTTGAAGACCATTGAAGTTTTTGATCCTGATGCCAATACATGGAGGTAACCTTCAAGCTATGCTGCAGTCATCTCACTGCTGACTTGAAAGTGATGGGCTTGAAATAGCCCATGACCATCAACATCAGGATGGTCATCAGTACACTGAATTGCTTCCTGCATACTTTGAAGAGGGCTTGAATCTACCTATAGTTGAAAGCTTATTTTGACTTCATTGCTCTAACGTACCTGACATCTTACATAATTCTTGTCTTTGGTACCTGACCAGTTTTATAATAAAAGATGACAAAAACAGGAAAAAAAATCTTTCTAGCTCCACCATGAAATAAAGTGACTTGCCTAATTAAGCAAGTTAGTGGCAGAGTTAGAACAAGAACTTAGATCTTTGGCTCTCAATCTGTCATGTCAGTATAATTTTTTGGTGTTCTTAGAAGCAACTTTATGCCCAGGAAAAACAAATTGCATTTAGTGTCTAAAAAGTAATATTTTATTTCATTTTATAACTGATTTTTCCCTTTACCTTTTAAAATCAAGTTAAATATATTAATCAATTTTTAAGTCTAGTAAATTTAAGAGTCACTTTTAGAGAGGAAGCCTTATCTTACTTAAGAGATAAAACTATATTTATAGGTTTAATTTTACTTTGCTTTTAAATCATTGTCTAACAAATTCTACATCCTTATAAATTCACATAAATCAGATGACTTCTGCATTTTAAATATTAGAAAACTTTCACAAATTTAGCAAAATTCTCTTAAAACTTTAAGCTTAGTATCTTTAGTCTAAATCTTTACTAGATCACATATTTTATACTTGATTTACAAAAATAATCTGACAGACCCTCTAATATGCCAAAGTCTCTTAAACATTACAAGAACTTAAAATGTCAAATATATAATTAATTCTCAAACTTAATAAAAAATATTAATACTGTGGGTTTGATGTCCTTCATATCTATGCTTAAGTCTAAATACCAAATACTAGCCTTCTGTGAAAACAGTTTTACCATCCAAGCACTTTGGGATTTCTTTCTCAATAAATTGAGCTTATTTGCCTAAACAAATTTAGGGTAACCATCTCAGTAGTTGCACATCAAGATATAAAGGGTTTGAGAAGGCTTATAAGAATACATACAAGAAAAAAACAGAAACAAATAATTGATGAGGTCTAGGCAAAAGGAAAATGGGTGGGAGAGTGAAATAGCCAGGGTCAAAATTGGACGCAAAAATGTTGAATATATGATCCTGGATAATTGTTAGAAGTCAGGATGTAAAGTTATAAAGTTAGGGTGCAAATAGTGAATATGACACTCTTTTACTATTAAACAGTTCCCTGTGAGAGCATTTCAGTCAGTGTCTGAAATAATTCTGCTAACTGTCAGTGCTCAATTTCAGCTCCCGATCTTTGGAAGAGGTATATGAAACTAAAAATATTGTTGTGATATAAAACTTGAAAATGTGTTTTATTAACATCTAAGTTATGGAAGAAACAATGCTTTTTCCAGTTAAAAATACTATTTTGTTTCTTCCTTTGCAGGTTGTATGGTGGGATGAATTATCGTCGGCTAGGGGGTGGTGTAGGAGTTATTAAAATGACACATTGTGAGTCCCATATATGGTGAACATCTAGAAGACGTATATATGCTCCTGTGTACTCCGGAGAGCTTTGACCTTGGAGCTCTGTACAGCTCGAGAAAACATTAGAACAGATTTTATTCTTTGTTGGTGCCTCCACATATGGAAATACAAATAGAATGAAAATACTTCACCTGCAAGATGCCATCTTTGCACAATAATTTTCAGTTCTGTGCAGAAGAATATTTATTTTTGGTTTTAATTTATCATGTTTTTATTTGTTGTTGGGTTTTTCTTTTTTTTTGTATTCAGCCTTTCTCCCACCAAAAAAGAAAAAGGGGAAAAAAAGACAAAAATTCCAAGCAGTGAAACTTTATATAAAGTTTGAAAATACTAATAAGGGGAGAAAGGCTGTATATGATCTGGTCGTTATTTCTAGGCACTCCATCCACATGACTCCATTACTTATCAGGACTACCAGTGACAAAGCTAGGTGTGCAAACTGTATTAGTTAGCCATCATTCTTGCACTAAACACCAGAAGACTTGAAGATCTAAAAAAAACAAATAAAAAGGAAACATCTCCTTTTAAATAGTACAGTTCAAAAGAAATATTAAATAGATAAAGCCAGGACTAAGACATTAAAGTTTTCATCAGTGGAAGTTTGCATCTTGTTTCCTTCCATATGAGCTTGTTTTCTGCTATCTTTAGATTTCTTTCATATTTTCATAGAGTTTCTGCTCAGTGCCTCTATAAAAACAATATCCGATTCTCATGTACTGTCCTGAGAATCCTGCAATAGACTCATGTGCAGCTCTGCAAGAGTTTTTGCTCAAAAACATAACTGACAGAAGCAGCCTCCCTTATTTCCTACTGCTACTAAGGACCAGCAGGGAGACATGTCACCTCCCTGGCAGAGAATACTGCTGTGCAATTTACCCTGGATCTCAGGCCTGCTGAAGCTGAGGCTTACCTGAAATCACACACCTCAGAGGAACAAAGTCTTCAGCTCATGAAGAGTACGTGCTAATGAGTGCAAAACTGAATGAGGCATTTTATTAATAAAATATTTGTTCTTTTATACAAACTATATCATCATCATCATTCTACAAAGCTACTGTTATTACGTCCCTCAAATTGCACTTTCTGGTGAAAAGTTAAAATTTTTGAGGAAAAAAATGATAAAAATTTCAGTGATTCAAGTTATTTTGTCATTGTATTCATAAACCAAATTTTCTCAGTATATTTTGCAGGAAATCTTTGAATAAGACTTTAACCACAGCCAAAAGAAATAACCTTCTCCTCCCATCCTCCACTACAAAAATGTTTGGCAACTATTGTGTTTACATTTAAAGATCATTTGCACCTTTACAAGGAAAAAAAAATAAGTATTTGGTAAACAGTTGTTTACATGTATCATTTATGCTTTTTTCTAGCATGTATAACTTTTTTAAATAAAGGTAGTATTTACCATTAAAAAAACTGTTTAATGCTTATGTCTTTGCTGTTTAGATTTTGGGGCTCAATATCATTTATACTTCTTTTATGTAAAGTTACAAGTACTTTCAACCTGAAGGAATGTAAGGATTGCCAGCGAGAATTATGAATTTTTATTATACATTTTATTATTATAGTATATTACCTAACTGATAACTTATTTTCTGGTATAGGACTTAGAATAATACAACTTTGAGCTCTACTTTTAAAAGAAACCAAGTTCCTAATCATAAGTGACTCAGTAACTGAGAGATCATTGCTGTAAAGGACCCTTAAGACAACTCTAGTTGAAGACTTTGTTTTGCCATTTTCTTACCAATCATTTCCCAGAATAGGGACAATTTACAGAGCCAGTTGTCACCGATGACTTAGACGACCAGGCAGTGATACTCGGGTTTACTTGGACGTTTTTGCCTCTTGATTCTCTCTCTTCTATATTTCTTAACTTATCCCATGTTTCTTCTTTTCCCATTTCATTCCTAGGTTAACAAGTTTGAATGGGTTTGTCCTCACTTTCACATACTGTTCAGGAGGAACTTCTTCTATTTCACAGTTGTCAAGAACTAGTCTCTGCAGTGTACATATTTGCAGGAAAGAAACATTACAGAAGAAAACTGGGAAATGGATCAGAAATGGGATGGTGGAGGGTAATATAAAGAACAAGGGATTTGGAATTGGGATGTGGATTTGAGATTCAGCTTCTACCATGTCATTTTAACTTTTCTAAACTTTGGTTTATTTATAAAATGAACATCAGCTGAACTCCAAGCTTACTTCATAGAGTTGAGACCAATATGTAAAGAAGTTAATGACTATTCTCTTTTTATAGCAATATCTTCCATAATAGGTACATTTCACTCAATAGTAAAACTGGAACACCTTTAGTGGAAGGAAGAAAAAAACCCTATATGCTCCAGTGAACACTTTGGTCAATGCTGTGGTTCCTCGATCTCTACTTTTGAATCAGTCATAGGAATTGCTTCCATTGGGGACTTCCCTACTTATGAAGAGTCTAATTGCTGGGATTTTATTCCTGTTTCTTTCTTTTCTTTTCCTCAAATATATGCAATAGTAGACTCTGGGAGATGTGTGATTTTTGCCTTAGAAGACTGACTGTAATGATGCAGTACCTTAAGGATCTCAAAAAATTTGTATTCTTTTTCAGTGTTGCATACCGGACTTAACTTTCAATTAAGACTTGTTAGTCTGTTTAGTTCTAGGCTGTATTTCAGATAGGCCTGTAGTGACAGTGTGGCAAATAAAGAGATGGAATAGTAGTTGGGGAACTGATTTCTAATGTTGGATCTATCAACTATTTACCTAGGCAGGACACGTCCTTGGTTTTCACCTTTAGAGCAGAGAAATGAAGGGGTCTGGATCGCATTAATGAATAGAGAAGCAGATATAAGGATCCAATTGCCTTCTATTAAGCCAGAAATTATAGGGATATGCAGAAGTGTAGAAGAGAGTACACGCAATTCATCTCTAATTTTTTTGATTTTGAAAGTTATTTTTTATGTTATATATAGTAACATTATTTATTTAAGGTATTATTGATACAGTGTTATGAAGGTTTCACATGAAAAAACAATGTGGTTACTATATTTACCCATATTATCAAGTCCCCACCCACACCCCATTGCAGTCACTGTCCATCAGTGTAGTAAAATGCCATAGATTCACTGTTTGCCTTCTCTGCTACACTGTCTTTGGCATGACCCCTTGCACCATGTGTACTAAACATAATACCCCTCAGTCCCCTTCTCCCTCCCTCCCCACCCACCCTCCCACACCCCTCCCGTTTGGTAACCACTAATCCCTTCTTGGAGTCTCTGAGTCTGCTGCTGTTTTGTTCCTTCAGTTTTGCTTCATTGTTCTACTCCACAAATGAGGGAAATCATTTGGCACTTGTCTTTCTCTGTCTGGCTTATTTCACTGATCATAATATCCTCCAGCTCCATCCATGTTATTGCAACTGGTAGGATTTATTTCATTCTTATGGCTGAATAGTATTCCATTGTGTATATGTACCACATCCTCTTTATCCATTCATCTACTAATGGACACTTAGGTTGCTTCCATATCTTGGCTATTGTAAATAGTGCTGCGATAAACAGGGGTGCATATGTCTTTTGAATTTGAGAACTTGTATTCTTTGGGTAAATTCCAAGGAGTGGGATTCCCAGGTCAAATGGTATTTCTATTTTTACTTTTTTGAGGAACCTCCATATTGCTTTCCACAATGGTTGAACTAGCTTACATTCCCACCAGCAGTGTAGGAGGGTTCCCCTTTCTCCGCATCCTCGACAGTATTTGTTGTTCTTAGTCTTCGATACTGGCCATCCTTACTGGTGTGAGGTGATATCTCATTGTGGTTTAATTTGCATTTCCCTGATGATTAGTGATGTGGAGTATCTTTTCATGTGCCTGTTGGCCATCTGAATTTCTTCTTTGGAGAACTGTCTCTTCATATCCTCCGCCCATTTTTTAATCAGGTTATTTGCTTTTTCGGTGTTGAGGTGTGCAAGTTCTTTATATATTTTGGATGTTAACCCCTTGTCGGATAAGTCGTTTACAAATATATTCTCCCATACTGTAGGATGCCTTTTTTGTTCTGTTGATGGTGTCCTTTGCCGTACAGAAGCTTTTTAGTTTGATGTAGTCCCATGTGTTCATTTTTGCTTTTGTTTCCCTTGCTCAAGGAGATGCATTCAGGAAAAAGTTGCTCAGGTTTATATTCATGAGATTTTTGCCTATGTTGTCTTCTAAGAATTTTATGGTTTCATGACTTACATTCAGGTCCTTGATCCATTTAGAGTTTACTTTTGTAAATGGGGTTAGACAATAATCCAGTTTCGTTCTTTTGCATGTAGCTGTCCAGTTTTGCCAACACCAGTTGTTGAAGAGGCTGTCATTTCCCCCATTGCATGTCCATAGACAGCTCCTTTATTGTGTGTTAATTGACCATATGTGGTTGGGTCTGTTCCATTGGTCTATGGGTCTGTTCTTGTGCCAAGACCAAATTGTCTTGATTACTGTGTCTTTGTAGTAGGTCTTAAAGTTGGGGAGCATAATCCCTCCAGCTTTATTCTTCCTTCTCAGGATTGCTTTGGCTATTCGGGGTCTTTTATGGTTCCATATGAATTTTAGAATGATTTTCTCTAGTTCATTGAAGAATGCTGCTGGTATTTTGATAAGAACTGCATTGAATATGTAGATTGCTTTAGGCAGGATGGCCATTTTGACAATATTAATTCTTCCTCTCCATGAGCATCGGATGTGTTTCCATTTGTTGGTGTCTTCTTTAATTTCTCTCATGAGGATCTGTAGTTTTCAAAGTATAGGTCTTTCACTTTCTTGGTTAGGTTTGTTCCTAGGTATTTTATTATTTTTTATGCAATTGTGAATGGAATTGGCTTTGTGATTTCTCTTTCAGCTAGTTATCATCAGTGTATAGGAATGCTTCAGATTTCTGTATATTAATTTTGTATCCTGAAACTTTGCTGAATTCAGGTATTAGATCTAGTAGTTCTGGAGTGGATTCTTAAGGGTTTTTTATGTACAATATCACATCATCTGCAAACAGTGACAGTTTAACTTCTTCCTTACCAATCTGGATGCCCTTTATTTCTTTGTGCTGTCTAATTGCTGTGGCAAGAACCTCCAGAACTAGGTTGAATAAAAATGGAGAGAGTGGGCATTCTTGTCTTGTTCCCGATCTTAAAGGAAAGGCTTTCAGCTTTTCACTATTAAGTATAATATTGACTGTGGGTTTGTCATATGTGGACTTTATTATGTTGAGATACTTACCCTCTTCAGAGTTTTTATCATGATTGTATGTTGAATTTTGTCAAATGCTTTTTCAGCATCTGTGGAGATGATCATGGGGTTTTTGTCTTTCTTTTCATTGATGTGGTGGATGATGTTGGATTTTCTAATATTGTACCATCCTTGCATCCCTGGAATAAATCTTTCTTGATCATGGTGGATGATCTTTTTGATATACATTGAATTTGGTTTGCTAATTTTTGTTGAGTATTTTTGCATCTTTGTCCAGGGATATTGGTCTCTAACTTTTGTGTGTGTGTGTGTGTGTGTGTGGTGTCTTTGCCTGGTTTTGGTATTAGGGTAATGCTGGCCTCAGAATGGATTTGGAAGTATTCCCTCTTCTTCCACTTTTTGGATAAGTTTAATGAGGATGGGTACTAGGTCTTCACTAAATGTTTGATAAAAATCAGCAGTGAAGCCATCTGGTCCAGGGGTTTTGTTCTTAGGTAGTTTTTTGATTTTCAGTTCAATTTCATTGCTGGTAAGGTTCAGATTTCCTTTTTCTTTCTGGGTCAGCCTTGGAAGGTTGTATTTTTCTAGAAAGTTATCCATTTCTTCTAAGTTATCAAGTTTATTAGCATAATTTTTCATAGTATTCTCTCATAATTCTTTCTATTTATGTGGTGTTTGTAGTGATTTTTCCTTTCTCATTTCTGATTCTGTTTATATGTGTAATCTCTCTTTTTTTCTTGATAAGTCTGGCTAGGGGTTTATCTGTTTTTTTAATTTTCTCAAAGAACTAGCTCCTGCTTTCATTGATTCTTT